TCGTGATCGTCGGGACCGAGGGAGGGGGCGGGGAGGCAGGTGGGCGAGGGATGCGGTGCCTGCCACGGCCACACCCAGCCGTGGCCTGGCCCGTGCAGCAGGCGGCTCCACGCTGCGCTGCTCGCGGCACGGCCCCCGCCCCCTGCGCTGATGCCCGGGCGCTGCGCGCCTTGCCGCGGCCCCTGCCGCGGCGCCTGCCTGCCCCCGCGCCCGCCCCGCCCCGGCCCTCCCCGCTCACTTGGGTGGATCTGCAGGTCGGCGAATGTGGCCCTGAGCAGCCAGCGCACCGCCTCCCACTTCACCTCCGGCTGGTAGTCAAGGTTGAGGCGCAGCGGCGTGGAGAAGACGGCCTCGCGCCACGTCTTGCACACCAGCGCAAAGCGCTGCAGGTCGCGCACCAGGCGGTACGCATCCTGCCGCTCCTCCCCCAGTACCGCTTGCAGCACCAGGCGCAGCAGGTCCACAGGCAGGCCGTGGCCGTCCTGCGTGGCGGGGCAGGCGGGCCAGGCGCGAGAGGTGGGCGGCGGCGGCGGGCGGCGGCAGCAGGCCGGCAGCAGCGGGTGGGAAGCGGCGGCAGAGGCGCTGCGACGTGCGTATACACTCAATGCCGCCGCTGGTGCAAAGGGCGGGAGAAGCCGGGCAAGCCACACACGGGCGGCGGCGCCGCAATACTCACCATGCTGGCTTGACAGGCTAGGCGCTGAGCTCAGAGTGGAGCCGTGTCTGAGATGCGGGACCGCGTGGATGCCGCTTTCCACGTGCGGGCGGCGGGCGGTACGGCGTACCTTGTCGCCGCTGTCGCTGCGGCACAGGTGGCCTTTGCTCTCCTGCGCTGTGTGGCGCTCCTGCTGAGCTCTTCTTACCATCCACTTATCTAGTGCTCGGTTTTGTCATTGATAGTGTCAGGATGTCAACTGCACAGGCACAAGATGCACAGGCAGGCGCTCCACTCCTTGCACAGAGGCGCTCTATCAACGAAAGCGTCAAAAGCTGCGTCCAGCTGTGGACGTCGGCCCCACTACTGCTGGCGCCGCCCCTGCTGCCGGCTGCCCACCGCCCAGGCCGCCCGCTCCCGCAGCTCGAGGCTGTAGGCCGGCGGCAGCTGGCCGGCGCGCAGGATGCGGGCGCTGCCGCTGAAGAAAGGGCGGAACTGGTGCATGAAGTGGGTCAGCACATTGGCATCAAAGATGTTGCCGCAGGCCTGTGCGCAAAGAGCGGGGCTCATGACAGGATGGGAAGGCGGGCGAAGGGTTCCTGCGAGCGGCCAGCCGTAGCTGCGCGCGGCCGGGGGCCTCACCTGCCGCCGGTCGTCCTCTGTCGCGCCTGCGGCATGGCGGCGGCAGGCACGCGGCGGCGTGGATGGGACGCCTGCCAGCTGCAGAAGGGAGAGAGACAGGCGCGGCAGCTGCAAGGCGCGGCGGCACCGGGTGCACCAGGTGTGCCGGGGACCTGCCTGGCGCGGCGGTGGCCCCCTCGTCCAGCCCCACAAAGCGCTCAACCTCCTCCACAAACGGCAGCTCCTCACGGCCGGTGGCCCGGTGCAGCACGTAGCCAGTGCCTGCCAGGCGCAACGACATGCAGGCACAGACGGGTGGGCGGGCTGGCCATTGTTGGCGGCAGCAGAGGGCACCGTCGGTCGAGAGCTGCCACCTCAGCAAGCGATGCAAACCAGCGCGCCAGGAGGGGCAGGAGGGGCTTCTGCGCACACACCCCACCATGCTGCTCGCTCGATGCCTCCCCCGGCAGGGATCCTGCCCCTCACCGTTGGCCAGGTTGTATGCGCCGTGCTCGGCCTGCCAGGTGCGGCACACGGTGGGGTACTTGCGCATGGGCTGCCCCTTCTTGTTGAAGTGGGCAAAGATGCGCGGGTTGTCGGTGGTGGGGGACAGCTTGGGACGGTGGCAGGGGTGCAGGGCGGTGGCGAGGTCCCGATCCTCCCTGGGGGGCGGGCAGGCAGGCAGGCAGGCAGGGGCACGCGTGTTCCGATTGAGCTGAGCAAACCAAAGCAGCCAGGTGGAGCCAGCCAGGCATGCATAGCGCGCCGCTCGCCTGCGCTGCGGCGCGCGCAGCCGCGGCCCGAGGCTGGACCAGTAGGCTCGCACGCGGTGGGCGGGCGACACGAGCGCCGCATCAAAGATCAGCACGTTGCTGCATGGGGTTGAGGCATCGCTGGGCGGGAGAATCATGCAAGGGAGGGTGTAGCAGCAGCAGCAGCTGGCAGCGCATGGGCTCAGCTGCCCTCACGGCTGGAAACAGGGGGCCGGGGTGCATGCATGCGGTGGGCCTGCAGCACGATGCCATGCAGTATCCACTGCATGCCTGCAGCGCAGCATGCGCTTCACGGTGTGCCAGTCCTCCCGAATCGCCGGCTCCTGGTGGTCGCTTAAGTCCACTGCAGCAGCGGCACGCAGCCCACAGCCACAGCCTTCACCCCAGCCCAATGCGAGATCGCCGCAGGGCATGGGCCAGCGCGCCAGGCGGGGTGCACGCCCCGCGGCAGCCACCGCGTTTTGGTTTGCAGCCCGCCCGCTTCCCTGCCCGCCGGCTGCTGTGGCCCACCATTCTCAAACAGGAACACGACATCTGGGTTGACCTCCTTCACCCACTCCAGGATCTGGGCGGCCTGGAAGAACAGGCCGGACCGGGCGCCCCGCAGGCCCAGCTGCGCGCCCCGGTTGCTGCGGCTCAGGTCCTGGCACGGGAAGCCGCTGCACAGCAGGTCGATGCGCCCCAGGGACCTGCGGGCGCGGGCAGGCGGCGGGGGCAGGCAGGGGCAACATGCGGCCAAGCCTGGAACCGCCGCTCTGAGCCGGGTAGGGGAGTGGGCATCCAGCGGCCGGCAGGGCTGCAGCTGCCAGCTGGAGGATGCCTGCCCAGCAGGAGGTGCAGCGGGAGATGAGGAGGCACCCCCGCCTCTCTCTGCCCCTCGCCTGATGTGGTCCCGAGTGATCAGTCGCACGTCCTGCGGCAGCGCCGAGTGGGCGCTGGCCAGCGCCGAGTCGGGCAGCGCGGCGGGGCCGTGGCGTGCCTGCAGCCGGCGCAGGTGGTGGTCCGCCATGCGGCGCACCGAGGGGGACACCTCCACGGCATAGTACCTGCAGCGCAGTACCAATTGGCCCCGCCTTTTGGGCCGTGCGAATGAAAAATAACAGCTTGTCGCCGCTCCTCCCTGCTCGGCGCAGGCCCCGCTGTGCACCGGCTAGCACTGGGCCTAACAAGAGGTATTCGTGGGTCTGCAGCAGGAAACACGCCTACCTGTCCACCCGCATGCCGGCCCGCAGTGCCCCGCACACGGCGGTGGACAGGCCAGCGAAGAGGTCTACCAGGCCAATGCTGGGCCCAGTGACTGGACCGCTGGCGGAGCCAGGAGCACTGCCGCTGGCCGGCCCAACCGCTGGGGCTGGCGGGCCCACCCAGAGAGCTCGCGAGGGGCCGGCTGGTCGGCCGTCCCACACCTGCGGCTGCTGCTGCGGTGGCGGTGGCTGCTGCTGCTCGCACTGCTGCCGCTGCTGTTGTCGCGGTGAAGGTGGCCGCTGCTGCTCGCCCTGCTGCCGCTGCTGCTCCCGCTGCTGCAGCTGTCGCGGTGAAGGTGGCAGCTGGTGTGGCCACTGCTGCTGCTGCTGCTGTGCCCGCCGTGCTTGGCGCTCCTCATTCAGCTGCCGCAGCAGGCTGTTGGTGACAGCAGGCGCGGCGGGTGGGGGCTGCGCTGGTGCCCCTGACAGGCCTGGTGCTGCTGGAGCAGGGGGCTGCCTTGACGGAACGCCGCTGGCTGCTGCTGTCGGGGTGCCGAGGAGTGGGAGGCTCTCTTGTGCTGGCACCTGAGTGGGCACCGCGCACGCCCCTGCCCCGCTGATGCTGGTAGCTACAGGTGCGCCGGCGGCTCCTCGGCTGGCTGCCCCAGCCAAAGGTGGGCGGGTTGAAGGTTGGCCGGCAGCGACGCCGGGCAGACGAGGTGGCGGGTGGCCGCTCGCCTCCCCTGCTCCCTGCGTGGGTGCTAGCTGCAGCGCCGGAACCTTGGAGCACACACCGCTGCTGCCAAGGCTGCGCCTCTGCCTGGGCGACGGGCTGGGGGAGTCGGAGTCGTCGCAGAGGTCCACAAGGTCCACCACCTCTGCTGGGCGCTTGCTCATGGTGCACGAGCTGAGAGGGCTGAGCAGACGGGCAACACAGGCCGGGTTTGCTGTCCTACAACCAGCGGCGGCGGCCCGTCGAAGAAAGCTGCTCAACATCTCATTACCAGGGTTTCAGGCACTTGAAGTGCTGAGGAGCAGAGGAGGCTTCAGGCCACCAATCCGCCCTTGCAATGCTCCCGACTGCGCCCGTGACCGCGCCGCCTTGGCGGTTGCCCAGCCGGTGCCAGCCGCCGAAATAAGGGGCTGCAGGTACGTGATTCTACAGCTACATCAGCCAATGCGACAATCCACTAGCCAAGAAAAACAGTTAACATGCATCAGGCTCATTGACCCTCATCCACTCTCGTACATGTGCTCGCGTTGGCTGCCGGCGGTGCCACAGGAGGCGCTGCCCTGCCAGGTGCGGCTCCCTCACGCCCCAATGCCTAGCATGGCAAAGTACTCGCGGAGGTGCTGGTTGGCCTCCGGTTGCCCTTGTGGTGCCCCTGCGGCATGCTGAGCCTGGGTGTGTGCAAGCTGGTGCTGCGGAGCGGCAGCAGGGAAGACAGCTGCAGCCAGGTCGTGGGTGGCGGCTGCTGCCTGCTGGTGCCCGGGGAATCCGCCAAACTGCTGCTGCTGCTGCTGCTGCTGCTGCTGCTGCTGCATCGGAGGGGCCTGGGCCCAGGGCTGGGCTGCCTGCGCGTGATTGTAGCTTGGTGCCGGATGGGCAGCAGGCTGCTGCGGCTGATGGAGGGCTCCGGCAGTGCCAGCAGGGAGGAAGGTGGGAGCATTGGCGGGATGGGTGGCCTGGCTGCCGGCCTGCCATGGCATCCCGCTGTAAAGCTGGTACTGCTGGCCCTGGTGCTGCACAAGGGCAGCCAGTGCGGCTGCCAGGCCTGCCGTGTAGCCGTCCTGGAAGCTTATCCCACCAGAGGCACCCGCCTGGGGACCGTGGTAGCCGGCGCCTGTGGCGGCGGCTGTCGAGCCACTCGCCGGGCTGGTGTGTGTGCCGGGGAGCAGGGGGAGCGGGCCGGTGCGAGAAGCGGTGTCTGGCACCGTCGGCGGCAGGTCTCCAAACAGCTGCGCAGCGTGCGGCGCCGGTGCGACGGGCGCGGGGCTGGGCGAGTATGGGGGCGGACTCTGGGCCGACGCGCCGCTGCCGCCTGAGCTGGGCGCATCGGCGGGCCAGTGAGGAGAGGGGATGGGAGTGTGTGGCATGGCCGGGTCGCCAGCGGCAGCGCTGGCGCTGGCACTGGCGGTGGGGACTGTGCTGGCCGCCAGCTGGCGCAGGGCCCTGCCCGCCGCCTCGCAGTCGCCTGCGTGAGCCACCAGCTGCTCCTCCACCCTCAGCAGCGGGTCCCTCAGGCCCAGGCTGGCAGCCAGGCTCTGCAGCTCCCGCACCTCACTGCAGCCACAAGCAGCAGCAGCGGCGGGGAGGGTACAGATAGTGAGCGGGCCCAGGGCAGCCGGCAGGGGGCAAGGAGGAGGGCAAGGAGGAGCGGCAGCGTGGCCACCGGCGCCTGGCCGCAGCACGCAGCACTTGCAGGGTGTGCGCAGGGCAGGGCAAGCTCGCGGCAGCGCTAGAGCATGCCAGCAACGTTGCCAGCACAGCACCATCCGTCAGGGCTGCACCACCCCTGCCTGAAGCACCTGGCCACCTCCACGGGCACCACCCCGGTGCAGGGCTGGCCGCCGTCCAGCATGCGGGCGGCCACGGCGGCGTCGTAGCCGGCGGCCACGGCGGCGGCGCTGGCAGCTGCAGCGCCGTGCCCGAGGGCGATGAGCTGGCGCAGGCAGAGCGTCTTGCGGTGGGCGCGCACCAGGGCCAGGGTGGAGTCTGCCAGGCCCAGCAGCCGCTCCCGCTCCTGGGCCGCGTCCCACACCTGCAGGCAGGCAGGGAGGCAGGCAGGCAGCAGGCAGGCAGCAGGAGGCGTTGGCGACGGCGGCAATGCGGGCCGGACATGGATGAGGGCAGCGCGGGTCGGCCAGGGGGCGGCTTGACCAGGCAGGGCGCGGCGCAGCGCTCGGCAGCGGCCCGCCTGCTGCACCGCCGCGGCGTCCTCCGCCTTGCGCTGCCTCTCCGCCCGGACCGCCGCCCGCCGCTGCTCCTCCTCCTCGGCCTTGCGGGCCGCCTCCGCATCCTTCCACTCCTCCTCCCGCCGCTCCAGCTCGCCCTGCAGGCAGGCAGCGCAGGCAGTGACGCGGGCGCCACGTCCGCCAGGGAGAGCCGCGGCAAGTCGTGGGCGAGCCGCCAGGGAGCGAGTGACGGGGGTTGGCAAGCAGGGCAGGCGGGGCAAGCAGGGCAGGCGGGGCAAGCAGGGCAGGCGGGGCGCCACCCCTGCTGCCCCGGCAGGACAGGAAAGAGAGGCGAGGCACCTGTGAGTGGCAGCGCGGGCAGTTGAAGATGTAGCACTCCCCCCCCTCCTCCCAGTGCCGGCACAGGGTGAGCTCCAGCGGGCGGCTGCCGCCCGGGAAGCGCAGGCGGCTGCCGGCCAGCGCATCCCCGGCGCCGCCCGCAGCCTTCTTGGAGGCCTTGCTGCCGCCGCCGCCGCCGCCGACCTTGGACACGGCCGCCTGACGGCTGCTGCCCGCGCCGCTGCCCCGGCTGGCAGGGCTGGGCTTCGCAGGCAGGGAGGCGGGCTTGGCGGGCTGGAAGGGTGGCGGCCTGGCCGTCGCCGCCTTGGCCGCGGCCGTGGGAGCGGGGAGCTTCCTGGCTGGCGCGGCCGGCGGCGGCTGCTGGCGAGCGGCTGGCGGCGCGGCGGGCGCGGCGGGCGGCTGCTTGGCTGGCTTGACGATGTCGGCGCCTGCAGGCGCGCAGGCGGGCAGGCAGGTGAGTGCTGCTCGGCGCAGCTCTCTGCCCAGCTCTCCAGGCCGCCACACCACTCTTGGGCTCCCAGGAAATGCCAGGCAGCAGCCTGCACCAGCACGTGTGGAGCAGAGCGCCGGCCAGCGGGCCCCGCGACCTGTGGTGAAGCCGGGGCAGGCGGTGGCCGTGGACGGCTTGCCGCGGGCCGACTTGGAGCCGCGGGTGCCGCCCTGGGGCACCTGGCCGCCGGCGGGGCACGGCACGCGTCGGTCCTTGAAGAAGTAGGAGGGGCGCTGGCGTGCCAGCACCTTGTTCTTGGAAGCCGCCTGGGAGTTGGTCGACTTCTTGGTCATATAGTCGACAAGGTACTGCAGAAACCCAGCAGGTATTGCACCCAGCAGGTATTGCACCCAGTAGGCAGGCAGACAGCAGGCAGAGGGTGTGAGGCCACAGGATGGCAGCACGCGCAGCATGGCGGGCGCAAGCAGACTGCTGCACCCTGCGGCAGCGGCGGCAGGCGGCGGCAGGCGGCGGCGGGGCCCTCACGTCGATGGCGCAGTCGGGGTGGTAGGGCGCCGTGCCGCACGCGGAGCAGTCCACTGCACAAGGCACAGTGCACAAGTGTGCTGCCCGGGGTGTGTGGGAAAGTTTGATGCGTGGCGGCTGCGGTGGCGCACAGGTTGGCAGGGGATGGGCGGGGCGGGGCGCCGGCGGCCCTTCCTCCTGTGGCTGTATTCCGCCCGCCATGGTTTGCCAGTCGCAGGGGCAGCAGGCTGGTGGGGCGTCCCCGATTCGGCCCAATCACTCGAGGGAATTCGGGCACCCCCCTCCGCCTCGCTCACGCATCATGCAGTCTTCAGTGGGGTCCATCGGGATGGTGCAGAGGCTGCACAGGCGCTCCGTGTCCTCCCGCGAGCCGCTGCCATCGGGCCCTGGCGCGGTGGACACCTGGTCGCCAGCCTTCTTGTCTGGGAAAACCATGGTAGATGGTAACAACAGTGGGGCAATGCGATGCAGCAAACAAGAGAGATCAACCATTTTGCAGTCCCTGCTGGCGCCAGCCGGGAGGGCGCGACTCCAGCGTTGAAGCTTTTGAAGCACCGGCAACAGAACTTGCAGCGCCTCCTGCCGTTCATGCTAGGGCCAGAGCGGCGGCGGCAGCTGCCACCACGGCCAGCAGCGGGGCGAGGGACACCGTGCGGCAGCTGCTGCTGGCGGGCGAGGGGGCGGGGGCCGGCGTCGGGGTGTGGGCCTCGCTGGCGGGCGTGGGGATCCCCGTCACCACCTGGTCCTCGCTGACCTTGATGCTGCATGCCCAGGCAGCCAGCAAACCCAGCAGGCGGGATGAACACCTTGCAGGCGCGCTGCATGGAGCTGCCAAGGGGCACGGCGGCGACGTGCATTGCGGGCAGCCGCAGAGGCGGCGACGGCAGCCAGCATCCCAAGCCCCCCACCTTTTCCAGAACTCGAGGGCAGCGGGCATCAGCTGGCCGGGCAGCTGGTACTCGTTTGTGGCGGCCACCATGGCCTGCCCCTCCTCAGTCAGAAGGTACCCAACTGCAGGGCGGGTAGGGAGGGCCCGGCCGCACACGTGTGAGCGGATGGATGGCCTGCTGGCCGCGCTGCCACTCGCACCAGCCTTCGCGACCACCACCTCGCAGCAGCCATCGGCGGCGGCGGCATCCACGGCGGCACCCCGCATGGCGCAGCAAGCCCCCCCGGCACCCACCCGTGTCTTTGATGTAGTGCCCGCGCGGTCCTTTGGCGGTGAGGTCCCGCGGTACGGTGGCAAAGCCCCAGTACAGTATGGGGTACAGGCCGGGCGGGGTGGCATACATGTAGGCCCAGTCGCCGCTGGCGTTGGCGGGGATGGGCGCCCGCGCCGCCAGCTCCGCCACCGCCGTCTCGTTGAGCTGGCCGTCGGGCGGCACAAAGGTGCCGTCGGCGACCTGCAGTACGGCGTACTGCATGGCGGCCGGGTACTCCGCCACGTACTGCCCCACCGGCATGGAGCCGCCGATGGAGATGGCGCCGGGGGTGGCGTTGACCGCCTGCCACGTGCCGCCCACATCCGCGCTGGAAATGAGGTCTGCACGCCAGCGGCATCAGAGCGGTGTGGATGTCGCGAGCACGGCGCAGAGGCATGTGTCCAGGCGCCCGCCGCTGCCCCGGCGAGCCCGGCTGGCGGCGGCGCGAGCCCCGCCCGGCAGAGCTGCCGGCCCAGCAGGCTCACCGTCGCCCCACGCCGCCACCACGTCCTCCAGGTTGTCTGTCACGCCATACTCCCAGGCGGGACATTCGGCAGACAGGTACTGGCTGCAGCAGGCGGCCAGGGCCAAGCATGCAGGCGGGGGCTCGGCACGCTTGGCTGGGGCCAGCACGCTAGGCTGGGGTGCCCGGCGGGCGTCAGCATGCACAGCAGAGGCGTGGGCACTGCCCCAGCCCCAGGCGCAGCCCCACGGGGGCTGCTGCCTCACGTCAGGGACTGAGTGATGGGCATGGAGAGGTTGAGGTAGACCAGGGTCAGGGGCAGGTCGGGCAGGGGGGACTGCGCAGGGCGGCGGCGGCACGGGGGCGGCACGCGAGTCACGAGGCGCTGTGCACGCTCCGCAGGCAAGGCCCGCCCTCCTCGCGCCTCTGCTGCGCATGCACCGCGCCGGTGGTTTGGTGGGGGTGGGCCAAGCTGGGCGTGCATGGGGCGGGCTGCGGGCATGCGGGCGCGGCGTGGGCGGCAGGGGCGCCACCTCAGGGTTGAGCTCCACCAGCTGCGGGTCGTCCCAGGAGCGGATGTCGCCTGTGAGGATGGCGGCCACAGCACACGCGTCCAGCCTGCACGCAGCAGGCGCGGCACCAACACACGGCGGCGCCAGCTCGAGTGGGGATCAGGTCGGCAGGCAAGCAGCGCTGCCTGCCCCGCCAGCCGTTGGGGTGGACGCAGAGCCGCGGCGGCGGGGGCGGCGGCAGGGAGGCTGCGGGCAGGGAACGGGCACCTGAGGGGGGTGGAGGCCAGCGCGGGTGCATTGTAGAAGATCTCAGAAGGGGACCAGCCAAATGGGAACTGCAGGGTGGGGCTGCATGGCGAGGCAGGCAGGCAGGGAGACCGTCAGGCCCTGTGCATGGTCTCATCATCTGCCTGATGAGGCGGTCTGGGGGCGGCGGCCAGGCTGCACAAGCTCGCCTGGTCCAGCCCTGGTTGAGGTCGTCAGCCAGGAAGGCGGTGATGGCGCTGGCAAAGTCGGCCACCTGGCCGTCGGCGGCCACCATGTACCCCTCCAGCTGCATGCTGCACGATGGTGTGGGAGGAGCGGGGCAGCGGGGCGCATTTGAGGGCGTCCTCGAGAGCGGGAGGGTAGGGGGGAGTGCACGGCGGCTGGCGGTGCCGCCGACGCGGGGCATCAACCGCATTCTGCGTGCTGCCGACTGTGCAGGGTTGGCTGCTGCTCATGCTGTGCCTGCCAGGCAGCAGGTCAGCCACCTGTGGTCTCGGGTGATGGTGAAGTTGAGGTCGACGGGTGGCAAGCCTGCGGTGGCGGCAGCGTCCTGCGCCTCAGCGGCGACCTCCTCCATCTGCGTCAGCCAGACCCTGGCGGTGTTCACAGCCAGGTTGTAGGTGTCCTCGGCCTCCGCCATGCTGGGCAGCACCAGGAGTGCCCCCAGCACCGCCAGCGGCATCAGGGTTCGAAAAGCCCTCATCGATCCGCCCTTGCACAGCGATACACAGCTGCGCGCGGTCGATGCGAGGCTTACGGAATGCCAGGCAGGCGAGGCCGAGTCGGAGGTTTCTCGATGCGGGACAATGGGATGCGCCTCATGCACAGCGCGGGCGGGCGCACGGCGCCACCAACCTGCACCTGCGCATGCCCGACTGGGGGTAGCCTTACAGGTGCCTTGCAGCTGAATGGAGAGGGGTACGTGGAGCGGGGGTGTATGGAAGCAGGGGCAGAGGATGAGCAGCAGAGCAAGCAGGCAGACGCAGCGCAGAGCGGGGAGGCGATCCCGGGCGCGCCCTCACTCCAGCTCTGCCACCACCTTCTTCCTGCGCGCCGGCTTGACCTTGACGCTGCCTGGCGCGGAGTGCGCGATGCGGTGCTGCGTCTTGCGCCGCTCGCTGTCCTGCTGCACACGGCGCAGCTTGGCGGCCTTGTAGATGGGGGCAGGGAGGTGGCGGTTGCGCACGACGCGCGCCACCTCGGGCAGGTGCTTGTGCCGCTCCACAAGCGCCTTGTTGTACTGCAGCTGCTTGCGCTCCCGCGGCAGCAGCGTGCCCAGCTGCTCGCTGGCGTTTGCCTTCCACACCCGCACATTCATGTCGTCGGAGCCTGGGGGGCAGGGCAGGGTGGGGAGGGGCGGGTGTGTGGGGCAGGTGTGGTGGTGCGGTGTGGCTGATGGCGCGTGTGGAGGGCCGGGGAGGGGACCGAGAAGGCCAAGTAGGCAGAGACGCAGGGCAGGCGCGTGGCGCAGCAGGGAGCGCCGATCGCGGCCGGGGGAGCGCATCACGCGCCGCCCCAGCAGCCACACCACACCCTGCGGCCCGCACCTGAGAAGACGTATGTGCCGTCGCCGCTGAAGCGCACCGCAAACACGCGCTGCATGCGCTTGGTGTGGTACACGTCCCGGCTGTGCCCGCCGTTGAAGGTGAAGATGCGCACTGCGGGGGGAGCAGGGGTGGGGGGGAGCAGCGATGAGGATGCGGGAGGACTGGGGCAGCGGCAGCACAGTTGGCGGGCGGGCAGGCGGGCAGGCAGGCAACAACCCAGGCAGCTGAACCACCACAGGCAGCCGACAGCCCAAAAACAATC